GGGAGAGGGAGAAGCAGGCTTCCCACCGAGCAGGGAGCCCGATGCGGAGCTCGATCCCAGGACCCTGAGATCATGACCTGAGCCCAAGAGAGACGCTTAACGACTGAGCCACCCAGGCACCCCACCTTTCCACATTCTAAAGAGACTGTGTTTTCCTCATTCTCTTTGTATCAATAAATGGATCTTTGCGGAGGCCTGCTTTTCTCCTGGCCCCTGCTGTGGTCAGTTTCCCACGAGAGCCATTTTCACGCAAGTTTGGTGTTAAAGATACTATGCTATTCCTTACAAATGAGGAACCAGATCCATCTGCTACATAGCAGGGAATGCAGGCCACTGGACAAGTCTTTACTCAGCACCTGCTCAGTGCTAGGTACGGAGCCGGACCCCGGGGGTGGGGGGGCAGTCGGGAACCAGACAGCCCCCTTCCTGGAGCCACATGCACACTGAGGACGGAGCACAAGAGGAGCATGAAGCCACTCGCGTGGCACACAGGATCTTGAAACTGTCAAGTGGTGTCTTGATAGCCAATTGGGGACAATCCAATGCAGTTTATGGGTGTAGAGATTCCAGAATGGGTAATTCAGAATCTACTCAGCCTATCCCCAGGCACGGAAGCAGGATCCCGTGAGAACACAGTGGTCCCCTAGAAAATGTCTACAGATAGTCAGGCCTGTTTGGCACCTCATGGACCCAGCAGCCCTCTGCTTAATTAAATATTTCTGGTTACCTTTCGTTGCAAAGCCCTAACACAAATTAGGAAAGGGTAGTTAGAGCTAATGCTGCCTGGGGGAAGGGAAAATATGGTTTCCAAGAATTTCTGCTTATTGAGACCTCTATTATCAGATCAGGGAAGGTTAAACTGGAAATCCTCTGGATGCTGATTTTTCTCTGGACACTGTTTTGCTCACAACTTTGTATTTTGCTAGTATCACCCGGCACAGTACCTGGCTTAGTAGAGGTTCAGATACTAGTGAATGAATGATCAATTCCCCGACTGCAACTGCCTTTCTCATTAGAATATGGGAACCTGGCTGAGGTCCACATGCTGCCACCAGGCTTGGGGTGTTGACGACCTCAAAGCTAAGACGTTCCTGCAGTACTAGCAAACCTACTGCTGGGTTTCTTTCTAATCACATTTCATTTTGGAGAATTTCAAAGATACACACAAATGGAGCAAAGAGTATAATGAATCTGCAAGTGTCTATCACTCAGCTTCAACCATCATCAGAGCATGGCCAATCTTGTTTCATTCTCTGTCATCCCCACCCTCGCTGCCCTGGGTTTTTCTGAAGTAAATCCCAAACATCACATCATAGATGTAAATCTATGAATACTTCATTTATGTCTCATAACAAAGACTTAAAAACACACAACACCATCATCACGCTTAAAAAAGTTAACTGTGCCTCCTTGAGGGGCGCCTGGGTGGCTCAGTCATTAAGCGTCTGCCTTCGGCTCAGGTCATGATCCCAGGGGCCTGGGATCGAGCCCCGCGTCGGGCTCCCTGCTCGGCAGGAAGCCTACTTCTCCCTCTGCCACACCCCCTGCTTGTGTTCCCTCTCTCGCTGTGTCTCTCTCTGTCAAATAAATAAACAAAATCTTAAAAAAAAACCCCCAAAACTATGCCTCCTTGATGTCATCAACTGTCTAGTTAGAATTCAAATTTCACTATCTCATAAAAAAAAATTTTTTTTTGAAGATTTTATTTATTTGACAGAGAGCAAGAGAGCACAAGCAGGCGGAACAGTAGAGGGAGAGGGAGAAGCAGGCTCCCCGCCAAGCAGGGAGCCCGATGCGGGGCTCGATCCCAGGCCCCTGGGATCATGACCTGAGCCGAAGGCAGACGCTTAACCGTCTGAGCCACCCAGGCGCCTCTCATAAAAAAATTTTTTTATAATTTGTTTTTTCAAATAGGGATCTAAAGATTCAAATGCTATAATGGCTGATGTATCTTTTAAATCCACCCCCTTTTTTAAGATTTTATTTATTTATTTATTTATTTATTTATTTATTTATTTATTTATTTATTTATTTTACGGGGAGAGAGAGAGAGAGCGCCAGAAAGGAGGAAGGAGGAGCAGAGGGACAGGGAGAAAGAGAATCTGAGGCAGACTTCCCCCTGAGTGTGGAGCCCTATGTGGTACTTGGTACTTGATCTCACGACCCTGAGATCATGACCTGAGCTGAAACCAAGAGTCAGATGCTGGACACTCAACCGACTGACCCACCCAGGTGCCCCTTAAGTCCCTTTTGATCTGCAGGTTCCATTTTTATCTTTTCTCTTCCCCCCGACATTCATTTGTTGAAGAATCTGTGAAGTATCCCCGAATCTGGACTTGGTGAGCGGCTGTGCCCCAGGGGTCATGTTTAACATGCTCCTCTGAACCCTGTTTCCTGTGAGGTGGTAGTTAGCACTACAGACTCGGTCAGATCCAGGTCTGACTTTTGGGAGAAGCACCGGGAGGTACGTAATGTCTGGCCGTCTCTCTCTTGCTGATGTTAGCACCATTGATACTTATTTTCCAGATCCATTAATGTATTAGGGGTGGATAACTGGTGATCTGTTAATTCTGTCATTCTGTCTGGGATGCTTCCCTAGAGAGAAGCTTTCTCCCATCAGTTACTTGGTTAGCCTGACCTAGAACTTGTATATGAAAGGCAGGATAAATCCTTGATTTTTTTTCTCCTTTATTTATCAATTTTTAGAATAATGGGTTGGTTCCCTGGTGTCCTCCAAAGCCACCAATGAGATTTTGACTCTGTTTTAGTGTTGCTCTTTACTCATGGATGTAAACACACTTGATGGGTTCCCATCCATTTCTCTTCATCCTTACTGGTGCTCAATGTATCCTGTTGTTAGCACGTGGGGGCCTGTTCAGGCTGACTCCTGGGTGCAGTAGATGTGACCCCAGTCGTCTTCCACAGCTCCCTCGCTTACTGGTATGACAAGGTGCTCCAGGCTCACCTGCAGACGTCCTGACCTGAACACAGTCACTTCTCTAAGAAGTCCCAGTTCCTTTTGGTGGGAATGGAATTTAGAGATTATGACATGGGGAAAACTGGGAGTACATAATGCTACTAGGATAGCCACCATTTCTAGGACTTTCTGGCAGGTTCTATGTGCTTTCTCTCTGCCCGTCTTCCTTTCTACATAGGAAGCAAACTGTAATCTGCCTTCTATCTTCTTTTTTTCTTTTTTTTTAAAGATTTTATTTATTTATTTGACAGAGAGCACAAGTAGGCAGAGTGACAGGCAGATGGAGAGGGAGAAACAGGCTCTCCGCTGAGCAGGGAGCCGGATGTGGGGCTCGATCCCAAGACCCCAGGATCATGACCTGAGCCGAAGGCAGCCGCTTAACGGACTGAGCCACCCAGGCGCCCCTGCCTTCTATCTTCTTAACTAATTTAAGAGAAAGATTATTTCATTTGCTATCCTATAAGATCTAGAATTAAAACCGGTAAGATTGTGCCATACTCTCATATATATACATATGTGTGTGTGTATATATATGTGTAAACACTCTGTAGGTGATAACGTTCATTTATATATACATATCCGACTCACTGTCGACACTTAACTTTTCTTCCCAGAAGTTCAGATGAACAAGATATAATGTAGAACTCCCAGCTAGTTCAATAAAGCATTTTCCCATGTATGGAGAAGCACCATCTAAGAAAACATAATCTTTTTTCTCCTCCAGCAATCCTCTTACTGGGCAATTTGGCGACATTACAAAATTTTAAAATGCACATGGTTTAACTTAGCAATTCTAATTCTGGGAATTTATCCTTCAGGTATATTCACACGTGTGAAAAAGGATGTTCACCAACCACCATTTGTGATTGCAAAAATGTGCAAACAATCCAAAAATACGTCATTAGGAGAATGGGTTAAATAAATTACGCTACATCCATACAATGGAACATACTATAGAAATCAAAAAGAATGGTGTATATCTGCACATACTCATGTGGAAAGGTCTCTATGAAATATTGTTAAGTGCAAAAAAAAAGCAAGGAATGTATCTTATGTTGTTGTAAAATATATATATGATAATCATATATATGTGTATATCCTATACGTACACACATCATATCCTATATGTATACATACACAAATATTTCATAGGAATTCTTAAGCATAAAAAATTTTAAAATCAAGGTACAAAAAATGCATGTAGGCTGATCACATTTTTGTAAAACTTAGAGAGAGAGAGGGACGCCTGGGTGGCTCAGTTGGTTAAGCGTCTGCCTTTGGCTCAGGTCATGATCCTGGAGTCCAGGATCGAGTCCCGCATCGGGCTCCCTGCTCGGCAGGGGGTCTGCTTCTCCCTCTCCCTCTCCTGCTCCCCCTGCTTGTGCTCTCTCTCTCCCTGGCAAATAAATAAATAAATAAATAAATAAATAAATAAATAAAATCTTAAAAAAAAACCTTAGAGATAAGATAGATACACAGAAAAAAATGGGGGGCCCATTAACGGTAGTATTTATCTTTAAGAAATGATACTGAGAAGACAGGAAAATAATTTTGTATTCTTCTTTATGATTTAATTCTTATGTAGGTTTTTACTTTAATTTTTTTGTATGTTATGTTAATACTTTTTTAAAAGTTTGGGCATGTGGGTGGCTCTGTCGGTTGAGCTTCCGACTTGTGATTTAGGTTCAGGTCATGATCTCATGGGTCGTGAGCTTGAACCTCAAGTTGGGCTCTGTGCTCAGTGGGGATTCTGCTTGAGATTCTCTCTCTCTCTCTGCCCTTCCCTCCACTTGCACATGCTCGCTCGCTCTCTCTAATGAATAAATAACTCTTAAAAATAATTTTTGAAAGTCTAAATGTTTTAAAGAATATATATATGTGCCATTAATGACAGATGGTTGAATTAACTGAATCTTGTAGAATTCTGGCAAACTGGTCCCTCCAAAGCCTCTGTGACCACAGGAGGGTTCCTAGGGGGAGAAGCCACGTGGCTGTGATTCCGACCCTGAGGCAGCATCACCTGGGAGCGAGCGCTTGTGGACTCCTTGCAGGGTTGCAGCCATGCGGAAAAAGGAGAAAGCCATGTAAAAGTTCCAGTCCTCGGGGGGAGGGATCTCCGAGTGATGGCAGTACATCCTGAAATACTCCTCTGCGGTAGGGATGCCCAGCTGAGTGAAATCACAGTCACGCAAACCTGAGGCGACAGACAGAGCCATCTCTGGGCGGGCAGTCACTGACCTCCCCGCCCCCCTGTGGCCGCAGGGATCTAAATTAGGAAAATCATTTCCTCCCTTGGCAATGAGCTTCACAGCTAGTTCACAGGCTCAACTCCTTATTTCAGCAGCTCTCCTGCCCTCATAAGGCTGGGATCCCGGCTTGAAGCTATTCACAAATTGGCCCTCAAAAGTTACAGACTAAATTGGCAGTAAAGGCAGGGCGCCTGGGTGGCTCAGTTGGTTAAGCGTCTGCCTTCGGCTCAGGTCACGATCCCAGCATCCTGGGATTGAGTCCCGCGTGGGCTCCCTGCTCAGCGGGGCGTCTGCTTCTCCCTCTCCCTCTGCCCCTCCCCCCTCGCTCATGCTCTCTTGCTCTCTCTCTCTCTCATGAATAAATAAAATCTTTTTTTTTTTTTTTAAAGATTTTATTTATTTATTTGA